AAAATAAATAAAATAAATATAATAGATAAATGACATAAACGAAGTAAATAAAATAAATGAGAAAAATGAAATAAATGCAATAAATGTCATTAGTATCGTATGACGTAATAAGGCCTATTTGTATAACAAAATTAGACTACCAAATTTAAGAAATAAGACATGTAAATCATTTAATTATCTAATGTAGTTACAATACTGCAAATCATTTTAATATAATATGAAATCGATCATCCTTTTAACCTTGTAGATCATTTTTGCATATCATTTTTTTGGTATAACACTGATTTACGTGATATTTTATATGGTAAGTTATATGATTAGCAAGAATATGAATTTGGTAAAACATTAGGTTCAATTGCTATTAATTCTCAAACAAATTTAATAAATTATACAACATTCTAGAATTACTGTAAATAATTTTGAAAGTCTTTTATATTGAATTTTTTTTCGTTTATTAATAATATTTGTTATTTAAAAGTTGACCAATTTAAGTCTGATAAACATAATGATTTATAATTTTTTATTATACATCTAAAAATAATAATCAATGTGAAATTCAAAAAGAAGAAGTCACATTATTTTAATATCTAAAATGATAATACTCTATGTTTATTAATTCTATTTGTCTAAAATTCATCATTAGCTAATAATAATTTTTATTTACAGCCTAATCAATTCTGGTTAGAAATTGGTATTTGGTATAGAACAGCTTATATTAGAAAAAATAGATTAAGTAAATTTATGCAAAAGATTAATTATGAAACTCAAATTAATATTCCTATTGATTTACTTTTAATTATTCTAGACGTAAAACTGCTACTCAAATTTTACAAGATCAAGAAGTTTCAGAATAGACTATTATATAACATACTTATCATAAAAGTGTTTAAGGGATTTATGCTTATAAAAATATCAATAAATATTAAAAACTTAATATTTGAAATATATTGATTAATATTACAGACATTTTTAAATAAAATAATTCAATTATATTAAATAATATAATTAATAATAATAATAATTTTTCAAAATCGCAAATTTTTCTTTAAAAAATTTCTTTGGCTTCAAATTCTTTAGATAAAATACCAATATTTCATAATTGTATATTCTTAAATATTTTTATTTACATTTAAAAATAATTAATTAAAATAATATCTATATATAAATTAAATGTTATTATTAATTGAAAATTTAAAATATTAAATATAAGAATATTATTGTATTAACTTTATTGTCAATTTATACTGTGAAAAATATCAGTAAAAAAATCATGACAAATAATTAGGAACTGTGATATAAATTTTATAATTTAATAATAATTATAAAATTAATATTTTTAACTAAATTTTTATAATTAACTTTAATATTTTAAAGAGGTTATTAATAATGATATTATTAAGATTAGTTTATTAATAAAAGAAAAATTATATCTTATTATTTAAAATCTTATTTTTATTATAAAATAAAAAATTATAATGATAAAAACTTATTTTATAAAGGAAATACTATTTCTAATTATAATAATTTAATGTTAATCAATTTGTAGATTATTCTAATTTCTAAATCTTTTTATATATAATTTTAACTTTTCTTCTTATAAATCATTATATTATTTATTATATTATTTCTATTTTAAATATTTATCTTCTATCATTTAATTTCTATTAAATATTTTATTATTTTCTATTTTTTTAAAATATATAATAAGTATTATTTTTTTTTTTGTATTTTTTATTTATATAATAAGAATATTATTCTTTCTTTATATTTGTTTATTTGTATAATAAGAATATTGTTTTTTCTTATATTTTCTATTTATATAATATTTTTTTTTTTATTATTTCTAATAATTTTCTTTATAATAATATATATTACATAAGTATTTTATTACTTTAATTTTTTAATTTCTTTTATTTAGACTTTTATATAATCTTTTTACACATTTATAAATTATTTTCATTTCCATTTTTTTAAAGTTTTATTATTAATTTTATTTTTCTTTTTTTTAGTAAATTATTTATCCTTTCTGTTTAGTAGTAATTTATCCATTTATTATTTTTATGATTTTAGTAATTAATTTTTTTGTATTCTATATTTTATCTATGTCTGTATAATATGATTTTAATTAAATGTTATCTATTATAACCTTCTATTTAATTAGTTATTTTTAATCTTTTAACATTGTAATCTTTTTTTTTTATTGATAATGATATAGTGCACATGGTCTAAAGCTGACCATATTTTATCACATAATTTCAAAAGAATAGAAGTGACCAAAAAATCAATTATTTTAAATAAACTCTCTGTTAAATGATAGATTGGAACATTATCTTTCACATGATAGAGCCCTTTTCTAATTAAGTAATCATTAGCATTAAATATATAAATTCAAAATTGGGTATTTTTATTAATTATGTAGCAAATATGGCCATCATAAAGTGGCCTAAAATTATAAAATTTACATAATTTAGGCCAAAAATTTTCAAATTGCACTAAACTAAAAAAAAGCAAATTTCCTATTTTTTCATTACATTGATTAGTATTTAAAATAAAAATGATAATCTGATAATCTGTGTGTAAAATGCCTCCTAAATCTCATAATCCCTAACTTGCAGTTGCATGAAAAAGCAAGTAGTTAAAAAAAAACACAAACTACTAAAGAAAGTTTATTTGAAATTGATAACTTATCTGATAATTTTGAGGAAAATGATATTTGGAATGATGATAACTTGGAGGAGACTATAGATAAAATCACATCATCTGTATTTGATATTATGCGTTATAATTTAAAGATCCTGTTATTTTTAATAATGCATAACCATTAACTTATCATAGAAATTCTGATAGAACTAAAAGGTGAAAAAAAGCAACTGCAAAGAAAGCAAGTAAAGATTCTGCTAATATTACCAAATATTTCAATAATAATCTAACATCTATTTTCTTGTTAAATTATCAAATTAATGTTATTGCTGATAATTTAATAAATCTTAAAGAAATCATAGAGAAAGAAGGGTTTAATTTAGCATTAGAGGAGTTAAATATATTAATTAAAGACAAATCATTAATTTTTCAAGTTAAAAACTAGCTGCAACTTATTCTTCAATATATTAACTTAAGATTAGCTAGACACAGATGTATAGAAGCAAGTCAAACAATTGTAGTTAACATTAGAAAAGGTAAATATTAAGCACGTTTGATTAAGATATAGACATAAAATTTTGTGATATCTCATTCAATTCTAATATCAATGCGTGGTAAATACCAAAAAATTAAAAGTTTGCTAGGTGATGAAGATATTTATCAAATGATTATTGAATATCTTCAAAGTGTTAGGTGTGATATAACTGTAGATAAATTTAAGGAATATATTGAACAGGAAGTCTTTTCAAGTGTTGGAATTGAAAATAAAAAACTAATTTCAAAAATCATTATACAGTCAACTCTTTCTACAACGAATTTTGATATAACGAATTTTACAATACAACGGATTTTCATTGTCAGACAG